ACTGATGGATTTCATTAATGAGGATATTTAGTTCAATGAAATAAAATGTTTCAAATAAAAAAAATACCAGTACCAGTTTTGCACAATTAATAGAACACATTTTGATAAATATATAATTGAACGGCCAATCAAAATTGAGTTTGTAGAACCCTGATTTTCACTGTCAACTTAGGTAGCTACTATATGCTTCACTTTTACCAAAAACATTTGCCCAAATAGTTGCGACAATTTTAGAAAAATTAAATTTCAATAGGGTTTTGTCGCCCAAAAAGATCATTGTTACACGACTCATTAGGAACTAGACTAATTTAGATTCTCGTTAATTTTGTTGTTAAAACTTTAGTATTAACTGATGGAAAACACATTTTTGTTTATATCATACGATAAGGCTCTTAAAAGTTGAGTGAAACATTGGTATATGTATTGTTAAAGAAGTAAATATGTGAGTTAGTATTCACCTGAACAGTTTACAATTTTTTTTATCAGCCAAAATTTTACAGCCAATTTATATCTTATTATACTAAAAAATACAGTTTAGTTGAAATGTCTGGCGCTTTCGCCAGTTTTTATGCATCTTCCTACAAGAATATACTTTCCATAATATTAGCTACCATGTCTAGCGCCTTCGCCATTTTTTATTCATTTTTCCACAAGGGTTCTTACAGTAATAAAATGTCTAAATATCAGGATACCGCATCAATAATTTAAAAAATAAAAAAAGAAACAATAAAAAAATAAAGGACGTTGGGCGTTAGAAGTAATATTTGTATTTCATTTAGATGAGATTTCAGAACTGTTCTGTTTATTCCAATTGATTTATTATAGATGAAATGGAGCTATTTTTTTTAATAGTTTATTACTTTTTAGGTAGATATATAGTCGAACTTCTCTAACTCGAACCTCCTAAATACAGTTAGTTTTGTTATAGCTAGAGAAAATTCGAGCTAAGAAAAATTTCTACTTTACCGTCAAACTTTTTAATTTTTACGTTGCTTTTACGTATATTAATACTGTTGCACCCTCTAATAACCCTTACATTCTAAGATCACGATGTCGTACAATGTATGTATTTCGTTCGTGTTGTCTTTTCCTACAGTAACCTTATGATCCTAACCTAACCATTCTTTCCAGTTTTTCATAGTACAATATGAATACCGCAGTGAAAATTTATGGTGTAATAGCTGCGGCTGATCTTTCCGAAGAAAATTAATAAAAATGCAAATTAAAGAGACTTTTAATTTAAAACCTGCACTGGAATCTCGAGTTAGAGAAAAAGAGAAACTTGAGTTAATGAGTTTGGAATAAAAGAAAATGTTTGGAGTTGTAGAAATTAGAGTTACAGAAGTTCAACTGTATACAGGGTGTAACAGAAATAAGTGTCGGGTTTTGGAGGGTGTAAAGTAGATGCAATAAGAAATCGCATGGTCAGTTCAGCAGCAGCGTGGTTAAGGGCAAATTTTTAAGAAAATCACAACAATTTACAATCCGACGCCGGTCCTGTGCGTGAATTGGTAACATAGATGTCTGCCGAATAGCGTACGATAAAAAATCTGAGATACATGGGTCGGGATTGTAAACATTGCCGATTTTATCGAACGTCTACGATAAACATAAACAATTTAGTATTACACATAATGCTTAGACTAAATATATTAAATAAATGCATTATGGAGAATTGTAATTTTATTAGGGTAAGGTAAATTTCCACACCTCCATTTAGAAATTGTGAAGGCGTGTTACCTTTTTCGGGCGATTGTAAGTAAACTTACCAAAAAAGTCAAATGAGTCTCCGAAAATTTCATATCACACATTTACCGAAAACAGTTCTTGAAATCACGTAGGACATGCGAATTTGCATCGTGCCAATAGCGATTTTTATTAAAGTGCCGTTCCCCATAAGGCAAATTTGTCTGTAAACAACATCCAATGAAAAAAATTAAGCTCTGCAACACTTTTCTGTCGAAACCACTAACAAAAATTAACTCGCGGCTGAAAATCAGTTTTAAGTAAGGCTCGCTGCAAATGATAAGAATGCAGCAACTACTCTTTTAAAATTCGCCACACTGTCAACGTTCAACGTTCGCTACTATTTCTTGTGTACTATTTTGGGGTTGCTTTTTATGAATTCCAGGATTTCGTCTTTGTCACCACAGTGGGGCAAACTGACCTAATTGCAAATGAGCGGTTGACAACGTTAAAAGGACAAATAACTTTTACAGGTGACAGCTAACATTGTGAATCACACTTAATCTAACCTTTCGAATAACAGACAATCCATGAGCAAAAAAGTACAAAAGAAATACAACACCGATGCTGCTAATTCCAAGCTGATTGAACACGACGTTGCGTTGTTGTATTGATAATATACCAGGGTCGGAATTGAATTTAGCTGTACTTTCAACTGCACTTTTTTCAAAATAGGTGAACATTCGGACATACAAACATTTACTTAATTTTCATATTTTATAGTGCTCTATCACCTCCGGCACTTGTTTCTGTTACAACCGGTATAAAATGCGATTTGGACAAAAATGTGTTTGTTTAATTCAATTTTATTTATCTACAATAGACGAACTAGACCATCTGCGCATAATAAGTTGCAGAGCTTCAGGTATTTATTTAAATAATATTAATTAATTGTTCGTGTACATAAAAGTATGTAAATAGATTTGGGCGCGCGCCTTTGGCATACAAGCCATTTTTGTAATTTTCGAGGTCACAAGCATAAAATATGTTTAAAAAAATAAGGACTCGCAACGTACGTAGACAGTCCAATAAATCTTCTATTATTGCTAAGGTACGCAATCACGAAATAAAAAAATACGCGCTGCAAAATATATTGTACATCGGCGCAAAAGTGCAAAGTATTTGAAACTTTCGGCGTTTATTTCGGTAAGTTTTTTGACTTTTTTATTTTTATCCCAGCGCAATATTATTGTTATGCAATGCTTCTAGACAGAACAATCAAACAATAGCGATCTAATTGTAACAAATAAATATGTACGTTGTTGTACTGACGTAAGTACATTTTTAATGCGAACTTTTATTATTTATTTCCCATCATAAAGTAATATATTTTTACCCATAATCCGTAAAAGGAATTTATAGTTTTAATTCTCATGTGATTGTACGAATTGTAAATTCATAATCTTATATTTTTCCTTTATTAATAAATAACGCGATTCTAGTAGTTTTTGAAAAAGCCCTTTGCATTTAAGTACTTAATCATGAACCTTTAAAGTGTTTGTCACTTCGTTTAATTAGGAACATGTCAACATTTTAAGCAACTCAACTGCTATTTGAAGACTTGTTAACGTTACAAATATAAGAATATTTCGTTTAAAGTGTGATGATCACGATCACTTTTAGTTTTTGTTTATCCTTCGCATTTCACCGAAACTAGAAGATCCCAAAGCTTTAACTATTTGTGAACAGTAATCAAATCTACGTTTGCCTCCAATCTAATACGAGGGTGAATTGATAAGTTTCCGGCCTGACCAAGAAAAACAAGGTTTTTAAAAATTTTTTTTTTTTATTTCTCAACATAATCTCCTCCAAGGCTGATACATTTCTCATAGCGGTGTTCCAGTCTATTAATGCCATCTCTATAGACTGATTCGTCAAGCTCCTCAAAATAACCATTTACAGCTTCGATTACTTCTTCATTGTCCGCAAATCTCTTACCGCCAAGCCATTTTTTGAGATTAGGGAACAGAAAATAGTCACTCGGGGCTAGGTCTGGAGAGTAAGGAGGGTGCGGCATCAATTCAAACTTTAGATCGTTGATTTTAGCCGTCGCAACGATTGACGTGTGCGCTGGTGCGTTATCGTGATGAAACAAGATTTTTTTCTTCGCCAGATGAGGTCGTTTAATTTTCACCTCGTGGCTCAAACGTTGCAATAAGTCTGCGTAGTATTGACCAGTGATAGTATTACCCTTTGCAAGGTAATCAATGTATATAATACCTCTTGCATCCCAAAAAACAGTAGCCATAACCTTGTTCGCCGAAAAAATTGTTTTTGCCTTCTTTGGAGTTGGTTCCCCTGGTCCAATCCACTGTTTAGACTGTTCTTTGGTTTCAGGAGTGTAGTGGTGGACCCACGTTTCGTCAACGGTTACGAATCGACGCAAAAATTCGCTTGGATTACGCTTATACAATGACAAATTTGCGGTAGAAATGTTTTTTCGAATCAATTTTTGGTCGACTGTTAGCAAACGCGGCACCCATCTTGCACAGAGCTTTTCCATATGCAAATGTTGGTGCAAAATATGTTGCACACGTTCATATGACATCTTACAGGTCTCAGCTATCTCACGCACTTTCAATCTGCGGTCTCCCAGCACTATTTGATGAATTTTTTCGATCATATCTGGAGTTGTGACCTCAACGGGGCGTCCTGAGCGAGGCCCATCAGAGGTGCTCACACGACCCTTTTTAAACTCGGAAACCCACTGCTTAACGGTTGAATATGACGGGGAGGATGTCCCCAGTGTTGAGTCCATCTCTTTTTTAATTTCCTTCGGCGTTAACCCCTTCAAATAAAAGTATTTGATGACAGCACGATTTTCCTGCTTTTCCATTTTTACGAAAACCACAGAGGCGTCTTGTTCAGCGTGCTGTCAAACCTACACTAGCAAGGAGATCGGGCTGAAACTATAGCTACAAGCTATCCAAGGATGGTACTATAGAATGTCACCTCAAGGTAGGCCTAGTGGCGTCATCTCTTGGTTAGGCCGGAAACTTATCAATCCACCCTCGTATGTCTCTAACTAGCCCTTCTTGCCTGAGAAGGTGTCCTACCAATCTATCTCGCCTATTCCTTATCGCCTTCCATAATGCCCTCTGTTCTCCTACTCTTTCTAATACCTCCTCCCTCATTTCCAACCTCTAACGGTATTCTAATCGTTCGCCTGTAACATCACATTTCGAATAATACGAATATCAGAAAAATAATTTCATTGGTATAGGTGATTTAACGGAATTTTCTCATTGTTTCAGAGGAGATTGATAGCGGTTCGGAAAGGGACCTCGCGTGTCCAGCAAAACGTCGTCGGGAAGAAGTGACGGTTGCTTGCAGTGACGACGAATCTTTGAGCCGTTCGAGTAGCCTTCTTCAATTCGAAACGCTTGAGAAACAATGCCAGGACATCAGCAGTAGTTCTCCTAGTATTCTTTCCTCGTTTAGTTTCGACTCTCTCGAACGTAAGAATGTGGACAACGTGAGTCCTGACAGCCTCGATCGCGTCCACAGTGACGGCGAACCCGAGTGCGACTTTTACAAAACATTCAAAATTGACTTGCCAACCACCAACAATAACCACAAAAGAAAACAGCGGAACGGTTTCGTGTACAATAGCGACTCGTCTAGTGATTCGTCGGATAGCAGCAGAACCCTAGAGATTCTGAGATACGACAGCTGTAAATCCATGAACAGACTTTCCAGGAGTTTCGAAAATCTGAATTTTTCTTCACAAAAATCGCCCAAAGAAAAACTGTCCACCGAAAACCTAAGCGAAGACAGCGGCTACAGCGATCACTTGACCAGCTTCATGAAACTCAAATCGAGCAGTATCTCAAATTTGGACTCCAGTCCTGACAGAACCCCGGAAAAGGAACATAGTCACAAAGTATTTTGGAATTCGGGCAAGTCATCGAACGTGAAGATTTCCGGTTATGACAAGTACCATTTCCAAGAACAGAACTTTGCGAGCAATTTTGGATCTAGTTGCCAAGACTTGACGGTATTAGATAAGTATGAATTCGGTAGTCCGTTGATCGAACGTTTCGCGAAACGACGTCTCGCGAAATCCGACCTTTTCAATCGGACCAACACCGTCGCGGCGCGTCCTGATACGTCATTAAATTTAGAAAAGACAGCGTCGGTACGCACTAAATATAAACACGAGACGTCTGCGAGCGAACCCAACTTGCTTCGTTCGGTCAGTTGCACGTCCGACAGTATCGTAAGAGAGCTCATTCCAGACGAACAAAGTGGCTATTTTGAGAGCAGTGTTTGTGTTTCTAGTGTGCCCAAGGACCTGAATTTAGTTGGCGAATTGAAAGAAAGAAACAATTGGACCATCGGATTTTCAACGGCTCCGCATTCAATCGCTGCTCAAAATTGGGATATTGCCGATTTAAAAAACTCTGACGATGACAAAGGGAACACTCCTGTGAAAGAAACGACCAAATTGCAACCGTTAGATTTTCAACTCGATCCTCACGTTCCAGAATTATACTACGACATGTCGTACAAACGGGAAGGTAGTTACCTCAAGGCTATGCAAAACAGGGTAGATTTCAGTGACGACGAAGAACCCTTGCCGAAAAATGTCCGTCATAGCGCCATTGTGGAATTCGACAGAAGGGTTCTCAAAACCATATCCGAAACGAGTTTACGGAGTCTCACTGACAGTAATCCTAAACTGAACATGCCTTTTACACCCGCTTCCATTTCCACCCAGCAACGGAATGTCAAAAGTACGCCAAATCTTGCTGAATGCAACAATATATCCAAGCGTGAGGATGTGACCCAATCGTCTCAGAATATTGCCAGGAAAAGTTCGCTAGTCGATCAGAGTTCTAACACGTCAGACGAAAGAACCTTAACGTCTGCCAAATCCTACAGCGGTTCTACGAATTCCAAAGGAGTCCACTTTTGTCCGGTTGTATCCGAAGTGAACTGGCGCGATCAAAGCGAATCAAGAACGACAAGCACGGAAAAGGATTCAACCTATTCGTTGTCCAGCAGCACCCCGGAATTGGACAACGAAGATGGCCAGAGGAACAGAGATTCGCTTTGCATAATGAAACCAATCGCGGTTCGCGCAACCCCCAAAGAGAAACAGCATTCAGTCAGTGAACCTGACTTGCTCGAAAATGAGGAACGAAAAGAGATATTAATGCATATGAGAGAACTTCTCGACTTTCCTGCGAAAAATACACCTCGAAGTGCGGTCAGCCAACCCAACTTGACCATGATGAAGAGACGGACGAGCGTTATTCAAAAAGAAGTGGATGGCACCCTCGTCCGTGCCTACATCGACACCGATGGCATCGCATACCGCCATACACATTTGGTCGATGGTTCTCAACAATCGCTCCCTTCCACCTCGCCGAGCGGTCACGTGAACTCCTTCATGCCTCGGCACCAACACTACCAGCAGTCCGACAAGAGAGAGAGTGAGAATGTTTACGCAGCGAAACCAGTTTCTACCATGGAATCGGTAGCGAAGCATCGGGATTCCACAAGCAAGTCTTCACGCGCGAGCGGCAAGCTCGGTGGCTTCTTTTCACGCATCGCGAGTTTCAGATTTTCAAACCGAAAAAATGACAAGAAAAAACACCAGCAGCAACACCAACAACCAAAGTCATCGGATCCTTCGAAAGTCGCGCACGCCAACCAAAAGGTTGCTCGCAAAGAGGATTACATATATATTCCTCTCAAAGGACCTGACGGCGAGAATAAGAAAACAGCGCGCAAAGACAACAATGGTGTTGCGAAGACATCTACCGACGAGGTGGTACAGGTGGTGAACGAGACCGCGTGTATTGTCAGCGCAAAACCTCCCTTACCGAAATTGCCGCCGCGGGTTGTCGGCGCAAGCGTAAAAAGACGTGCAGAGACATCCGCGACGCCGACGCACGTCAACGACGCCGCTTCGGACAGCCGGACTATTGATTCAGGGGACGCGCTTCCCCGGCCCATGGAACCCATGGGGTTAATCGAGACGGACCTCGATACCGAGGTGACGGTGATAACAAGCGGGGCCCATGCCAAGACAAGGAGCCTGATGAACTTGGGGGCCGACGCGCCCCCTCGCACCCTCGCGGCGCCACAGCATCCCGCCAGGCCGCACAAGTCCATGGAGTTCCTGCTGGACAAACAGAACCTGAAGGTCGTCGAGGTGAGTGATTCGCAATGTCAACAGTTTATTTTTCCATAAAACACCTACGCTTTCACAAGCATGAACGCAAACATTTCCTACACCTATCTACTCTTATTTTTTTAACTTCCTGCTATCGATTGCATTTAAGTATTAAGGTAGATTCAGACCGCACGTTAATTTGCATCAAGAAATCAAAAGAACGTTCCCCTTGAAGTTGTAGGTCATTATTTTGTCGGTATTTTAGTTTCTGCATAATTTAAATCTTCGGTAGGGTAGGTAAAAATTAGATCGTTCGATTTACACGTCATTTAATCTGTCAACGTAGACCGAATTAATTATATACAAAAAAGTCTTTTCCGATTCCCGTGGTAGAATTAAAAATATACTTCATGTGTTTACATTTTGGATCATGTTTATGTAATAAGATTCCGCCAAAGACGTCCAGTCCTATTAACCTATTAAAAAATCGATAATACTGCAACGTGTAATTGGACAGGTGCTCAAGGAATGTCCACATAGGTATACACACAAATCGTACACACTGATGTGGTCATTTCAAGAGTGAATTGAACCAGCCAACCGGATTTGGTTTACCGTTAATCTCACTCTTACAATTCAATTCTGAAAGCCATTTAAACGTCATGAATGGTTGGTCATTGTAGTAAATACCTAGCTGTTACGAATAAGCCATTTCGAATTTTTTAAGGTGGACTTATACCTACAACATTGTTCCATAATCTGATCGTTTTTGCTATATTTATTTTAACACTAAACAGATATCTATCTATCTAAGGAGCATATTGTTCGCCTGCGGTAGTTGTTTTTGAAAACTGATTAATATTTTAATATTATTATAGGTACTAGGGTAGTAGTGTAAAAATATTTGTAGGTGTTTGTTTACTATTCGCATTTTGCCGGATATTTATAAAACCTTGACACAATTTTGATATTGTACGTATATTTATCTCTTATCTCAATTGGAAGAATTACGTAATCTTCCGAATAAGTCGTTCAAAATAAAAGATCGACGGTAGTATTTTCGAAAATAAAACAAATAAAATGAGGCTTTGCAAAACGTAACAATTTTAATGTAAGTAGCTACCTAGATATGCACGTACTCGTGAAGTAAATTACCCATCCCATTAACGTACTAATGTGTACATGAAATAGTACGAGAGGCGACTACAAACAATTCCTAATGTGACTATAATAATACGTGAAGTTATTTTAACGTTTGGAGTTTCGAAGTTCACTTCCGTTTATTTGTTCCAACTGACAATAAAGTGCGACTGTTGTACACGTTTAATGGGTGGATGGGTACAATATGTGCGTGCGTGAGTAAATATACACGTGAAAAGCTTTTCACTCGCACCCTTTTACCCTTGAATTGAAAGCTACCGAAGCCGACCACCCTATGTGCATTCCGTTGAACTTAGCAGTAGCCTATGGGACACCCCAATAATGCCGTAAAATAGTCGGCTGGTGATATATTACTTATGTATTTTAAGTGTTCTTTGTACCTTGTCAACGCACCGAGGAATGTGAGAACAGAACATACCTATGTACCTATACATGGTGATACCTATGAATATATTGAGTGGATAGCTTCAGCTCATATTTTGGAAGTAGTATGTCTGGTTTGGTGGATATACTTTAGGATTATAAGGATACACTAGCTGAAAACATAAAAAAATACAAGGACAAGCATTTGAAATGTGGATCCGGAGGCGATTTTGAGAGTGCCTTGGGTCGACTATGCGAGAAATGAGGACGTTCTCCGGAGAACCGGTCTAATAGCAGAAAGAGAACTCTTCAAAAATATCAAAAAAGGAAAGATAGGTTATCTTGGACACATACTACGCGGACAACGCTACCACTTTTAACGCTTCATTCTGCAAGGTAAAATTGAAGGAGGTAGAAGAGGAATAGGCAGAAAAAGATTATCGTGGCTAAGAAATATCTGCCAACGGACAGGAATAAAAGACTTCCAAACACACACTACAACATGCTGCAATTAATAGAACCATATGATAAGAAAACGACGAACGGCTACGCACGGAACTAGAAGAAGGACAAGACTCTCTCCTACAATAGCCATATGATCCTATACCCATAAAACCAGACATTTAAGGAGTTTATATGTATTTATACGATCCAGATAATTTACAAACTAATCCAGTACGCATATTAACTGTAACACATACAAATATATGAGTGGGTACTCCAGGAGCGACTAGATCCTCAACAAAAGAGACTAAACATTCACGTATTTGAGATTCTGCTCACGGTTTCATGCTTTTCAAATGGAGTAGAGTGGACACCGCACAATATGCACTCAACTTTATTTTCACGTAAACAAAGTTCGGATTAAGTTATTTTTTAGACTTGTACTTTACTGGTACTGATGTTTCAGCTATGAATACCAATAAGTAACACGATCAATAATATCAATTATAGGTAAAATTGTAGTTATCAAGTAGTAGGTAATGACTATCTGAATATTACGTGTTAAGAATAAAAGAGAAATAACGAAAACATCTTTCTACTGCTACTTACAGACCGAGAGACAAATGCTTTGAATTGATTGTGATTTTTATACGTTTGCAAAAATAACTATGATTGTTATTTAATTCACTATTAATACCACGTATATATAAGAATACGCGATGGCAGAAATGTGATTAATAAATTGATCATCAGAAAGAAAAGGTAAACAATTTGAATGCTAAGTAATTCTCACATGACTAATACAAATGCTCGTCATGCTGTTAGAAAACAAAGTATCCTTCGCCAACTGCAGTAACAATTGTAATAGTAAATAAACATAATTAATAATGATAACTATTACATTATCAACAACTGAAGACGTTTAGTATAATCAAATAGACATTTATAAGTAGTTTTTTAATAAATATATTGCACAAATACTGAAAACAGTGTATGTATGGTAATTGGAAATAATTCATCCATAAGAGATCATTTATTATAAATGAAAGACGTTTTAATAAAATTAATGATTTAGATAACATTTAGCTACTTAGTTAACCATTATATAATTCGTTGACCGCAAAAACATTAAAATGGCTATTTATCAATTATGTTGCATAATAAGTAACACAAATGCGTCATACTGTCAATTGAAATAAAGCGTTACATCAAAAAAAAAAAAAAAGAAGGACGCTGTTTAGGTGCCTTAAATAAAGTGAAATTTTTAGTATTCTTTGTCAAAATTCAATCGTAAGAGAGACCAAGTAGAAATCAACATAAATTACTATTTTATATTTGTTGATAGTCTTCTACACTACAACGATCTATGTGATTACAGATTAACTAAATTACGAACTTTAATACCCGATGACTTCATATCTTACACAAACCAAATTTCTAAAATAAAACGATGATTACAATAACAGCAATGCTTAATGCATTATTGCAAATGTTAGCACTATTTACGCCTAAGGAAGTCCAACATTTACACATTTTTAGAGATACAAATGTGTTTTGTTAAATTTTCGACTAATCTGCAAACGCTAATATTGGTATCGTCGGATCTTCGCTTTAGATTTTACTTTTATTACATTCACTCAAAGATTTATATCCCGCAAAGTTTACTTGAAACAACATTGTAAATTAAACAGACCGTGTCTGTTTTCAGTTGAATCGTGCTCTTAATCTCGTGCAAAAAGTCATTTTGGTCTTGTTTCGTGACCTTTGTGATCCAATAATAATAATAATATGTACACATGACAAGTTATGCAGCCACCAAGGAATGCAAATGTGCCGAATTGTCGATACAATTTTCTAAAATTATAACCAAGATCACATTATTGTATTTCAAATTATGTTGAAGGATTGTAAGCTCATACCTGGTGAACCACTTATAAATCAATATAGAATCGTAGTTACCGTGTATAAACCTCCTACAACTATGAAAGTAACCAGGAAACTGACACCTAAGATAAACTGGAGAGTATTAAAGGAACCCAGAGAAGAATTATTTTTGCAACATTTGAAGGAATATATTCAACCGACTGACACCGTAAATCGAACAAATAAAAAGTTTTTAAAAAACTATGCACTAGTTTAGTAAAGGAACACTTAGGAATGACGAAAGCAAGAAGAAACCCAAATAGAGAAATTAGGTGGTGAAATCCAAACATAAAAGAAGCAACATCAGCCAAGAAAAAAACTCTGAAAATTTGGCAGTCCACAAAGGATGAAAATGACCTCGCTGTGTATAATAAGAAATAAGCTAAGACATTGGTAGCCATATAAAGAGCAGAGGCAAATCTTGAATTTTGCGAAAAACTGGAAACGGCCAACATACATCTAGACATACACAAAATAGGGAAAATAAGAAATAACCACACAAAAGACATAACAACAGTGAAGTATATTAACAATAAAGATTACCAACTTTTAACACAAGACGAAGATATCACAAGCAGTTGAAAGGAATACTATAAAGATCTTCTTAACCTAGTTCGTCCAAGATGTAAGGACTATTGCTAATCTGGACCTGTCTATGGTCCGATTTCAACAATTCAAGGGGATGAAGTCAAACGACCCGTACACTATATGAAAAACAACATGTCACCGAGTCCAGATGAGATCCCATCAGAAGTCTAGAAACTCTTGGCGGACCAAAGAGTCCAATGGCTATTAGAAATGCTAAACAAGCTGATTCTAGATGAGAAGCTCCCGAGCGCCCGGTGAAAAGATTTTTTTGTGCCTTTCTACAAAAGTAAGGAAGCCACCAGAGAATGTTCCAACTGCAGAGCCATTAAATTAATGTCACATACGTTGAAATTACGGAAACCAATGATCTACAATCGATCAAACCAATAGTAAGTAAAGACCCCAAATGAATGTATTTTTCATAAATGAGATCAGAATACATCAAATGCAATTCAAACGTTGAGAATAACGATGGAGAAAGCCAAAACTAATCAGAAAAATCTTCGTATGATCTTTATTGACTTAGAAAAAGAGATCAAATTTGGGAAGCACTCAGACAG